TAAGTATCAAGGAAAAGTCGAAAGAAGTTAGTAACATGCCCAGGTGATGGCGATGGAAATATACTTTATGTGAATAATAATCGCAAAAAGCGAAAAAAAAATAAATTTTTCTTATAAATACCGATTCGTTCAGTTATCATTTTTAATGAATCTAATTTAACGAGTCACCACGACACAGGGAGTTATCCAAATCGCTGATTTACCTGCTTTGCAAGAGTATGAAACCATTATAGATTTCACTGCTGATTCTCCATTGTTTTCTCTTTTACCCGAACCATATACTACAACCAAAGCAACATCAATAAATCCTCAATCACAAGCATCAATGTCTGCAATTGTCGAGTCACAGTACAATACATCTAATCTAACCTCGTGCCAAATATTGGCGTCCATCATCTCAATTGATAAATAAATTACGCTTCCTTCACGAAAAAGCATATGCACAATTTCCTTGTGCTCCGTGTTGTTATTGTGGCAGGTTACTTTGCCCACTTAAAGCTGTTACTACATAAATAAATATATTAATACGTTGTACCAATAACGCAATGTGCTTTTTCATAATATTTTTAAGTAAACTCATTTTAGGCTAGCATTTCTGTATGTCACATTATATTTACACTTATTATGTCACGGATTCCGCGGGCGCCAATAAATAGTCGATTATCGAAATCCACAATATATATAAATAATCCCATCAAGAATCCATTCCACAACCAAATCACTACTGCTACCAACAGAAAAATGTTCATACACCTCGACACCACTTGCTTGATCAAGCAGGTAACCGAAACAACTGCTCATGAATATCAAATAGTGCAATGTCTTGCATCAGCATACAACTTCGGACGCACGCATATAAAACTATTAATTAAAATTTTCATCCCTCTTATTGACACCATACAAACACCCTGTATACAAACCTTCTAAAGACGATTTGGTAAGAGTTTTCGGATCGATTACTAACATTGCGAAAGACGATGTATTCGAAGTAAGTAAAAGCATGTCACATCATTAGTATAAATTGGTATTTGTTAATTTACTGTAATACGATCTTCAGATATCGGCCTACAGATGCCAAAATACATACTATAATGCCAAATCCCCTTCACAAAGCTCTGCCCACATAATATGCATGGGTACCTTGAAAGATCAGCCGCCGCAAATACAAGACGACTATTGGAATCTTACCGTAACGTCTAAACAATTTGTGGGGAAAGATGCAGACAGTCAAACGTTCGACAAAATCATTTATATGCGACCTTTAGTCTCTCACCATCGGTGAATTTACGTGAACTAAATTCAACAATTAGAGGAGGTTTATTGCACTGGAATCTTCCATGCTTACAAATATACTCATGAACTATGGCCAACGATTCCTGATTCAGCACCAAACAAATGCAAGAAACTTGAACGATGTTGTGACACTGACACTGATTCCTGATAAGCATCCAATGCGGAGGACAATTTGGGATGATATTAGGAACCTTTTCAAAAAGGTGAATATGGACAGTTCAGATGACAATGCGTGGAAGGTCATCTATCATATCATAACAACGTAACATCCTTATCACGTCTCAAAAAGGAGAGTAAATAATGTAATAAGCTTTTCTTACGAGAGAATTACCTAAACCAAGAAATAGCTATAACAATTGGTTACATATTGATATTAAATAAAAAACAGTCTTACATAATATGCTCAACATGAATTGAGCTAATAAGATTACGAAATAAAATTGAAGCACGACGTCGATGCTATGGACAGCTACATAATAACCATCTTCCTTTTGGTAGCATATGTGTGGACCTATTAATGGACCAACCGTATATTTATCGCTTATTTGGTCAGTATTTTATCCGCTTATTTTAATGACATCCCATCGTCAAAAAAAAAGACATACAATTCTATGAACTCGTAGAAACAATTCGCTACCCATGCCTTTGATGTTCACAAGTAAAAAATGCAAGCATTTTATATAACTCATTCTTCGCGAAGTTCGTCATTTCATAATGACAACCCGACCCTATAAACTGCAGCAACGATAACACTTCCGACGTATCAAAACCATCAGTAAAATATACCATCCCCACAACGAAAACAAACCATGCCATCACCACTAACTATCAATAATATAATACACGATATGTGTGAAGTAAATAAAAGTTTGCCGCATCATTAATATAAATTTCCATTCGCTAATTTACTATAATTCACATCATAAGAATACCTCAATAGAATCTCGTCAACAACAAAAGGGATCGAAGCTAACGAAGAGGCGAAGCCTCTTAACTACTTATGACTCTAGTTGAATACTAATAGTAATAGGTCTAATTTCTTTATTATCAGTATTAATTATTAATATATATGAAAATAACTGAACACGTCTTTTAATCGTTGCATCATGCTGTGTCCATATTAATATATTGTTGAAATCAAAGACGTCCCTCCGTGACTGTGCCTCTGACACTTTTTTACTCGAAATATTAAATGAGCCTGATGATTTCTAGCAATCGTAATGCCAGGCATCGTATACTATGCTAACTAGAGCAGTCGTGCCGACCGGGCGAAGCATGACAAGTAAAAATGCATCTTGTCCAATATAATAGTAATCTAATTCTGTACCATAGCGTATTGAGTTCAATGTTAACCTCCGAGTTATTTATAAAATATATTAGATTAGAAATTTTAGATATAATGACATTATAAATTGTTTTAATTCAAAGTACATCAAGATGCAGTACAAATGTTAGGATTTTATAGTAAATGTTTGGCTAATTTTTTGCAAACGGGCATCCTTATGCAATGCGACAAAGCTATGTTGAGATTGTTGAGGTTGTTCCATGTCAGACAGTGAACGTACACTTGGCCTGCGGAAAATATGTGACCTTCCAGAATTAACGTGACATTAGTTAGTGTAAAACCCCTGTGTTTTATGTACTATGAATTCTGAAGGGGAAATTTGGTACATGATGCTGTATAGAAGTAAGATGTGTAGCGAGATACCCAGCAGTGTATTATTGCATTTTTGACACAAAATGCTACTTGAACAGATAATATTTCTTTGTTAAAGTCAGTAACAATTCTGATTGTTCTGTTGCAGATACCCTTTTCAATCAAAGAATTGTTTAAAACATTTGTAGCAAACAGTTCCGTGTATTCCTTAGAAATATTACCAAATCTTATTTCTTTCAGCATTTGATAGAAGTGTGTATTTGTTTGGTAACATTGTGGTTGTCTAAGGAAGAATGGGTAAAAAGAGATATCAATTAGATGAATGAAAGATGTATTGGCCATGCACCGGTGGTTCTCCCATCCCACAACAATAACATTTATGCCTCCAAATGCTTGCGCATTGTTGTGAAGCAATGCAAATAAATTGAAAGAAGCCGAGACCATTGAAATTTCATCAATAAGTATCAATTCTAGCTAATTGATTATTGAACTCTTTGTCATAGAATGCTAGAGTTTGGTATCCAGCTTCTGTTTGGTGGATCCGTAAAGCTAACTGTATAGTTGAACCGCATACGGTGGATCATAAAACATGTCACTAACGAGGATATCAATGATGTAGTTTGAGTCGCTTGCAGCATTACAGCCAGCTACACCAGTAGGAGAACCGTATAAAAACATGGACTTTGAACATCACAAGAAGTAAAGAATTTTTCTTTCTCAAAGTTTAATCTTTACCTTCTGCCTTGCAACTCCTTGTCGCCAAAATATGGCCTAATATTTAATAATTTAAATATAAAATTATATAATAATTAGAATAATTAGACAATAAGACACACCTTCGCCATGTCTTCTTTCTGCTGTGTTGCGCGTAGCCAATACATAAAGTTTTATACCTAGTACAGATCGTACATACAACTGTTGCTTCCAAAGCCTACAATTGTCCTCAAGTCGGAGAAATTTTGGGACATAGCCACTTCAAGGATTACTCTTGCATAAGGTTTCCCTATATCAACCATATAAGTATTTGGAGAGAGTATCACGAGAAATACATGACAAATCAAATCCCTTACGTGGCCGCCCAAGAATTTGAATTGGAGTACTACTAAACATGTCAGGAAAAAGGGCGTTGAAGTATTTTCCAATAATATCAACAACTACTCCATATTCAGTCAAACACATTTCAACTATATATACCCTTTTTATAGTCAAGCTTGATCCGCTTTCTTTGCTTTCAACGAAAGTATTGTATTTTTCCATGGATATGTTTAAGGCAATCACACAATGAGGACTGCAATTCGCACGAGTCAACACTGGACGAACCTCAATGCAAACTCAATGCCTACTCACCTGCTTTCGTCTAACGGCTTCTCGGGCAATTGAAGCTTCTCTGACAAAAACACCTTCTGAAGGGCCTTTGTATACTATTAAGAACCATAATTTGATCGATTCTAGAGGCGTGTAAATGACACGTGATCGAACAAATCCAGAAAATGTTACACACCACATGGCACACATAACAGACTATCAACGGAGAGTAATTTATCATTTCCAAATGGCTACAATTGATTTGTCTTCAGATCTTTCATCCGATTATGAAAAACTTTATGAAAGTAACAAATATACAGATGTTTCGATTAGCGTTGGAAAAGAGCCAAACAACAAAATCTTTCTTGCTCATGCAGTGATATTGTGCACGAGAAGCACATATTTTGAGAAGATGATGGTTGAAAATACAGAGACTTTTGAAGATGTAACGTCTGACGTTTTTGAAATTTTGCTTAGGTAAGTTTCTATTAACTTGAAAGGCTAACATAACAATTGCCTACTCAAACGATTTACCGTACTTTTAGATTTATTTACACGGGAAAGATGACTTACGATTCAAGTGAGGTCATAAATTGGATTGGTCTTTTGGACGTCGCTTGCAGATTCGAATTAGATAACTTTGTTATCACGGTTGGAAACCATTTGATTAATCACCAGACGGAATGGATACAACAAAACATTCTTGCAATCCATAGGCGGGCCTTATCTTCAACTTTATTAAACAAGCTTTTGGAATATTGCAACAATCTTATGTTATCATCTCCAGAGATTATTTTTAAATCTGATAACTTGATGGATCTACCAAAAAGAGACCTTGATTGATCTTCTCAAACTTGATGAACTTAACATGAAAGAAATTGATATTTGGACATCAGTAATGCAATGGGCTACTAATCAAGTTCCAGGGCTCGTAAATGAACCGGACAGTTGGTCGTCTGAAGATGTTACTAAAGTCAAAGCAATTATATCTGATTGTATTAATCATATAAGGTTTTTCAATATTTCATTAGAAGATTTTCGTGAAAAAGATTGTTCCATATGATGAGTTATTAGCAAAAGAGTTGCGCCGCGATATGGTTCATTATCATGTGGATAAAAACTATAAACCAAAGTCTACAGTTTTACCACCAAGGAAAGGTCAAGCAATTAACAATAATAAGATTAATGAAGAGCGTAAACCTCCTAACATCAATGCAGGTATTGACTCAGTTGTCATTAATGAACAACAAGCAGAATGGATTACACAAAAGATAATAGAGTCATTGGAGAGAAACCAAAAGAGTCAAAGAGAACTTGAAAAGAATACTTGTTCCTACAAGCTTACCCTGCTTTACAGACACAGTAGGGATGGTAATAGTAACAATTTTCGGCATATATGTGCTGAGAAAGGTCCCACAGTAGCAGTTGGAAAAGTGTTGGAAACAGAAGAAATACTTGGTGGATACAATCCAATTGCTTGGAGTGTTTCCTCTTCATTGCCTATTACAGGTAAATGGGTTTCAACTTCAGAAAGTTTTATATTTTCATTAAATAAAGATAGTTTGAATGAAAGCATAGTGAGTTTTGTTGTTGATAGTCAACTTGCCATTCATGAGCATATAGCCAGCTTTCCTTGTTTTGGGAATGGATGGGATTTATGTTTTGGTGGGTGTTATCTTACTTATATTTATTCTAGAAGATCTAAAAGATCTTCATACCAAATTGCAATAAGATCTACCCAAAATTATTTTGAATGGGTGGATTGGGAAGTTTTTCAGCTACAAAAAATAAATTAAGTTGTTTGAGTTATCATACTAATTTTAACTATTACTATCTTGAGAATTACTGTTATCATGGATATTAATAAACTTTCAGCAAAAAACCTTTTAAAGATTAAGTTTGTAATTTTGAACAGTATTACTGCTTATATTCTTAGAGATAAATCTATCACTGTTCCTACTGTTACTGTGGTTGTTTTTTTTTTTTTTTTCAGTAAAAAACTAGCCTCACTCTGGGAGGGGGGGCATGCTTTTGGTCACAACAAAATAAGTCAGGTTAAATTAATTTGATTTTATTACCATTATAACGCATTTCAAACAAGTCGAGTCTTCTGGTTTATAATGGACAATTTACGTCAATAATTTTCTCAGCCAATATGAGTGAACTATGTTCTTAAGTTATAAGATTATAACATTGATTCACTTATATTCAAGGTGAGCACATTTACCATTGTGACCGATCACTGATTATGAATATTTATTAAAGATGATTAATGATACAGAATGTGAATGCTGTGTGAAGGCTATTGTTGTGCGGCTAGTATGGGGAAGCGAATTGTGATTTAGCCCTATACTCAATCTTAACTCTTGATAGTTAGTGCTTGTTGTTAGGGTTTTCGTACTCAAGTAGTTAATACGTTCTTGCGGCGAGAACCCCAGGTCGGCCTTAAATTCTCGTCCTCCCTATTAGTATTAGACGGCGGAATTCGTTATTCTGATAGCAAAGGCTGATAATAATAATCTGTTAGTGTAGACGCGCATGTGCATTCCAACTTCTGCAAACCGCAAGTTAAGGTCATAGTACAGCAAGCTAACTGTAAATAGCAAGCAACAAAGATATTATGGATTCTTAGTATTAATTAATAAAGTCTCTGTTCGTCGTATTTGTCTTTGCTGCTTCTTCTATCCGATTTAAGATTCGTGTATTATTGAGACTTTAACTAGATTATTTCAATTAAAAACGGAATACCGTAATCAGTATTAGCACGAGAATGAAAAATATTTATGGTTACACTTTTCAATCCACGTCTATTAACAGTACCGTGAATATTAATACATAGGCAAACTCGATAAGTCGTAACTCGGACAATCCTGTCGACCAGATTATAACAAATGACTCTCGATAAGTCGGGACCACGTGATTTTTTACGGATAATCTTTACTATTTTAGTAACGTAACAAAATAATTACCCAATAATTGCGTCATT